ACCGATGACGTCATCAGTGATGATGACGATGACGATGTGGATGCCGGTGACGTCATCAGTGATGATGACGATGACGATGTGGATGCCGGTGACGTCATCAGTGATGACGATGACGATGTGGATGCCGGTGACGCCATCAGTGATGATGACGATGACGATGCGGATGCCGGTGACGTCATCAGTGATGATGACGATGACGATGTGGATGCCGGTGACGTCATCAGTGATGATGACGATGACGATGTGGATGCCGGTGACGTCATCAGTGATGATGACGATGACGATGTGGATGCCGGTGACGTCATCAGTGATGATGACGATGACGTCATCGGGGGTCACGCGACGTCGGCGGGGGTCACGTGACCTCGGGGTGTCACGTGACCTCGAGGAGGGGGTCACGTGACCTCAGGGGAGTCACGTGACTTCGGGGGGTCACGTGACCTCGGGGGGGTCACGTGCCCCCCACGAGGTCACGTGACCCCGGTGGGGGGCTCGCGCGGTGCATTATGGGACATTTCCCATGATGCACCGGGGTCACGTGACCTCGGGGGGAGTCACATGCCCCCCCACGAGGTCACGTGACCCCGGTGGGGGGCTCGCGCGGTGCATTATGGGACATTTTTCATGATGCACCGCGCGGTTTCGCCGACGGCGACGGCGACGGCGACGCCGACGCCGCTCAAGCCGGAAACGGGCCCCTAAGAGCTGCGCTCTAAAAGAGTCGAAATGAGCGGGAACTGAGACAAGTTATTTGTTCTACTTTTTATGTCCGTAGTTTCGAGAAAATAATTTGCAGCTTTCGGTCATTGCCCGAGACATCCGGCACGTGTTTTGATACAGTACCCCCCATAAATCCCATGTCGACGTATCCGGTTTTTAAACAAAAGGGTGAGTTGAGCAGTGCCATACGTAGGCGGGTGAACATCCTTTGTGTGGAATATGCCTAAACATCCGCCACGTGTTTTGATACAGTACCCCCCCGCAAATCCCATGTCGACGTATCAGGTGTTTAAACAAAAGGGTGAGTTGAGCAGTGACATACGTAGGCGGGTGAACATCCTTTGTGTGGAATATCTCTTGCTTGTTAAGTTTGCACGTAACGTGCCCTCTTCGATGACACATCCATTGGTTTGCTCCTGTATCATGTAGTCTGAGTTGTAGAATCAAAGAATTTTGTTCGGGAAACTCGTAGTTGAATTATTTATAGCTTTTTCGGTTTATATCTGCGATTTTCGTTCATTACGAAGCCCTTGTAGCCAATACTCACAAACTTCAGTAATAAAATTTGGAGCATAAATTGTTTGGAAATACGATAAGGTTAAGCATATGTAAAGTATTGGTTCGCTCTCTTGGGTCCGCAGAAAGGAGGGGAGAGAGCGAGATTAAGATTGAATGAAGGAACACTGAAAAATTAAGGTTATACAATTTTTGGGCACAAAGTTCTACACAAAAATGCACAAGCTCAAACAATTAAAACACTGATAAAACGCGAGTAAGAAAACATTAGACGTACTCGCGCGGGTGGAGGGCATGGGGAAGATAGATATAATTTGTTGGTGTTTACAGATTAAACATTTAAAAAAAATGTGGGTAAGATCCTCAATCCTCTTAAGCAGTGCGTGTTCCATATTTAATTAATCATCTAAATAATACAGCACACATATAGTAGAACAATATACAACTACAGATGTAAATGCACAACAATAAATTGTGTCGCCCGGTAAATAAATTGGCTGCTAACTTGTGATCTTTATAAAACAAAAGTAAATACATGTCTACCTAATACCAAGGTGGGAAATAAAATAAAATTATAATATAAATAATGATTTTAGCCATAATTTATGCCGTCATTTAAGTCAAACTAATTTTATTATGATGTTAAAAGTTTTAAAAGCGCCGAAAAAAACAAGGACGAAGACGAAGTAAGGCAAACACAAGGCGCCTTTGTAACTGTAGTTTATACGGAAAGAACACATACATATATCACGAAAATGGGCCAGTCTAGTCGTCATCACATTGGCGCTAATAATTTTTAATGAACTCATTTTTTTGTTTGAAAAGGCGATTGATGCCTTACTTATACAATATTTACCTTTATCCTGAATTTCAAATGTCTCCAGTAGTTATCTGCTTGTTTTGTTTTTGTATTTGTCTCAGAAGACGAAGCCCAGAGTTACAAAAAATCGTTGATGTAGACGATGTTCGGCCACTTGCAACAATGGGCCTGATGGCGAACACGTTGCGAAGTGAAGTTCAGTCAGGTGGTATTAGACTTTAACTTAGATATATTTATTTAACATAGTACGTTGACAGCGGTGGGCGCGACCCGACGTCGCCGCCCGGCACGTTCCGTCCTCCAAAACCCCAACAAGGAACCCAACTTCAACTCAGCTCGATCAGTGTCAAAAAGCCCCGTCTCATCCTTGGCCCATCCATTTTAGAGTCGGAGTGAGTTCCCTCTCCCAATCGTCCGAACCAATTGAACAGTTTCAAGTTTCAAGTTTCAAGTTTCAAGTTTATTTTCTCTTCAATGAAGAGTGGGAGGATGGGAAAAAAGCAGTAGGAACTGCTTGACAGAGTCCCTTCCTCCCCTTCGGCAGCAACAGCAGTCATCGCAGAGCAAACAATCTCACATACAAAATTAAACAAAACAGTAACGATACAAAAATAACTATAGGTACACTATTTTGACTAGTTAAAATATTACAATTCAACAAATCTGGAACGTAAGCACTTTTTGGAAATGACTTCAACTTCAACACCCAAAAGGGACATAGTATTTAAAACTTTAGGTAGCCTATACTGCAGCATCTGGTCACCATAATTGGTTCTTGAACGAGAGACTATCCAGGTGTCAGCGTGTCGAACAGCATATGAAATCTGCTTTGTTTGTAAGGAGGACAGGGAAAGGAAGATACTGTCTGGCTTATTTAATGCTGTTTTGTACATGAGAATAAGTTTATAGTCATAATAATTTGTTATTTTAATCAGGCCTAATCTTTTGAACATGGGTGTTGTGTGGCTACAGTAAGCCTCATTGCAGATCGCACGAATTGCTTTTTTTTGTAACAAATAAAGAATGTTAATATTCGAATAAGTAGAATTTCCCCATACCAAAAAGCAATAATTAAAACAAGAATAAAACAAAGAGTTGTAAATAAGAAGCAATACCGATGAAGGTAGTTTTTCCCTGCACTTATAAATGATACCCACTACTCTTGATAGCTTTTTTGCAGTAGACTGAATGGACTCATCCCATCGCAAATATTCGTTAAACAGTACCCCAAGCACCTTAACTGTCTTAACCATTTCGATAGTTTGTGCACCTAAGGTAAGGGCCTGCTGCTGACATATATTATTTATTCCTTTTGATCTAAAAATGACAGACTTTGTTTTTTTACTGTTTATAACTAGTGAGTTAGAAATAGTCCATTCATTCAGTTTATGAAGAAACCGATTACCAGCTTCTATCAATTCAGAAGTATTTCTGCCCGAGAAAAAAATGGAAGTATCATCCGCATAAATTATCATATGCACCTTAGAGTCAATATTTACTATATCGTTGATATATAAGTTAAAAAGAAGCGGCCCTAAAATACTTCCTTGCGGAACGCCATTTTTCATTTGTCTACTATTAGAGTGGTAGCCATCTATTACCACCATCTGAAACCGGGATTGCAAGTAACTTCTTATAATGTCAAGAGCTTTACCTCTAACGCCGTAAGCTAGCAGTTTTTGTAGTAAGGTTTCATGGTTAAGGCGGTCAAATGCCTTCGAAAACCCCACGCTATTTGCTTTCTGGTAGACGGTCGGTCCTGAAAGCACAAAAGATCAACAACATGCTGTCTCAAACGGATAACCAAAATAAAACACACAAAGACCCCACGTTTTCTTCGACAGACATTACAAGAAAGTGCTGTGATGATGGGCACACCCACGAAACCGGCCCGCTCACACAATGAAAGCAAGGCCGACATGTTCGGCACGGTTTACTACCCCAAAAGCGCCATCCGGCAGCCACCCACGGCAGTGCATCCCATTGTCCCAGCTCCCCAATTAGGCAGACGCCCGCTCGAGGCGCCCCTGAGGGCGACATCTCCCCCATTCCCGCGGTCAGCCCGCCGTCTCCCCCCCCCCCCCCCCCCCCCCCCCCCGTTTTGGCGATATTTCCGACGACACAGCTGCGCTTCGACACAAACTGACAAAAAAAAAAGAAGGAATAATATGCCTGTACCTAACTCCTCCCCACCAAGAATGTTGCGGAGAGACTCGATGTAGTAGTAACATTTTCCTCTAAACACTCAAACGAAAGCCAACAAATGCGATGCAAGGCACTCGATTTCGACTCTGAATACATAATACACTTAGAATACATTTGCACGAACTGCACAGATCACATTCTTCAGAATGACACACGTCAATAAAACTTAATAAAAAACGCCACGCAGAAGTCAGAATGTGCAAAACTCCCCCCAGTAAGCACACATGTGTCGAACCAAACCCTGTACATTCCAAGATCGTGCACATCATTCGGAGGTCATATGACTAAACATTTACGTCCTGCTTTGTTATTCGCGGTGAATATGGCTGATGCACAGCGTTCATGCCACCAAATATGCTTATCAATCCCACTAAAATTTACCCACTCAAGCGTTACAGATATACACACTTCACACCTTAGTCGTTCCTGTCCAGCCTCGACAAAGTGTCGGCACACTTATTCAGAGATCCCCGAATATGAATCATTTCAATGTCATATCTCTGCAATGTCAAAGACCAACGTGTCACCCAAGCACTGGAGGAAGCCGACCGGACCAGGTGGGATACGTCAAAGGATTGTGATCTGTGGCCGACCTTCGTTTTCGCTCCAAAAAGCCAGATATCAAGTTTTCGTTGTGCCCACACATGGCATATTCCTCCCTCTTAATTGCCGACCATTTCGCTTTCCTCTCACTGCGTTTCTTCCTCAGAAACACAATCTGTCTTTGCGTTCCGCCCACCTCTTGGGATAGGCACGCGCAAAACGCAAATTCCGAAACATCTGTCGTCACAACACACTCGCGACTAGGGTCGGGTGCCGTTAGCTCAGGCGGTACCACTAGTTCAGCCTTCGCCATACTAAAGGCTCCAAGGAACCACACTTGGAACTCTTCGGTGTGTAAGCTCTGTAAGGAAAGGACAGCTTACGAGTATCTGGGGATATAGTCACGGTAATGATTAAGCAGCCCTGTTTTGCTTCTTTGTTCTCTGTGGCTTTATATCAGCAATCGCCCGAAACCGCTCAGGGTCTGGCGGGCGAGTTCCCGACCCCACCACATGTCTGAGGCGCTTAACTCTAGATTGAGCGGACTTGCACCTCGCAGGATCGGCACTGAGCGCCACATTATTTATCATCAGAAGTACCCCACACAAATGGTTCACAGAATCTCCCGTTTCATCTTTAGGCGAGTTCATTGGCCTGCATCTGGCACTTTCTGTCGTCGAAATGTCTGCCCATCAGGTTCCCCCGCTGCTAATAAGTCAGGTTCAGGAACTGCTGCCGACATCTCTCCAAGGGAAAAGATTTCCGCTCCCGAAGAATTCTCCCGATTCGTTTCGACTGTGTGAAGCTCTTCTGAAGCCATAATGTCAGCTTCAGAAGGTGGTAACGTCTTTCCAACCCCTGATGTGTCCACATCAAAAACAGTTACAGGAGGCTCCCCGACATCGAAAACGCCCGTGTCTGACAGTTCTCCTACATCTAAGTTTCCAGATATAGAAGTCTTCCCAACTGCCGAGGTCTGCTGCAGAAATAGTTGCAAGAAACTCTCCTGGCGCTGAGATGGCTATGCCAAGAAGAGCACTTAGGAGCTCTCTCTCTCGGCTTTATTGTTTGCTTCGGAAGCAGTTATTACCTCGGCGTCTTTGGCACCCGAGACTTCTGTCTGAAGAACAGTTCCCGAAGAACCCTCGGCAATAATGCCGCTGCTTTCACAGACGCTGACTTGAGGCTCTTTGACCACCAAGGTTTCTTCGTTAGATACAGCACCAGGTAACTCCTTCGCAACTTTAGCAGTAGTCGCTCCTGTTCTAATGTTTGTAACCGTGGACGCTAAATCAACTTCCGGATTCTCAGCAGCAGAGGCCCCTCCAGCAGGAGTCTCGTCTTGCAGTTCTCCTACTTCTACGGCTCCAACGGCAGCCTCATCGACTCCCCCTGCTCGATTTCAGATTGGCACATACCATCGTTTTATAGAGCCTCAGACGTCAGTGAGTTATCCCTATGAACGTGTTTTACCATTGTGCCTATTTCTCTCACCTCATCCTTCATCACAAGCTTAACTCGCTTCAGCTCCTGGTATGCCTCCGTAATAAGCAACACATTAAGGGCACTCGACAGCTCCTTTGTCCCCGCACACAACGTCAACCCCTGCTGGCTGACACTGCCTGCTTCCTCCGATAGGCTAAGAGGACCATAAACTAAGTCTACAGATACCAGTTGTTCAAATGCTCCCTTTAACTTTATCTTTCCACAACTCTGTCCTAAGCACGACGCGGGCACGACGTCCGATCTCAATACTGTGATCTCCAATCCCGAATATAAGCATGCCGGAGGAGGCTGGTCCACTGCCAGTAACTTCACCCACTTAAGGGCTGCTCTAGCTTCCCTTACATGGTTCTCATGTATCTCCTCTGGCTCAACTTCCTGCTCCGGAAGCAACGCTGTACGTTATCTACCACTTTGCTCTGCTCGAGCCTTTTGCGGTCCTTCTGACTTTGAATCCTCTGCCGTCGCGCCTGCTGAAAGTGGCCCAGAACGCCACAGTTAAAACACCTCGGTTGGTTTATCCGCTCCTCATTACGTCCCGTGCTACGGGACGCTGCTCATCTAGTCTCCTTCGGTTTCTCGTACCTACCCCTGTTGGGTAGTTTTGCAAATGGCCCATCCTTGGCAGAAGCCCTCTTGCTCCGGCAGCTTTCCTCGAAATTTTCGGCAAGCCCCGCTATCTCTTTTGGCTTCAGCCAGCCATTCGTTTCATTTTGGAGCACATACGTTCTCACCTCATCGGGCATTACCTGTTTTACTCTGTCGGCTATTATTAGTTATTTCAGTTCATCGATCGTTTTAATCTCTCGACTACTTAAGTAGTATAACGAGAACGTCTCTAGCTTTGGTAAACTGAGCCCACGGCTCTCCCTCTTCCCTGTGTGCTGCAAAGTATAATCTCTGATATTCATTTGCTGTCATCTTAAGCGCTCTCAGAATTTTGGTCTTCAGTTCCACGTAGGGCATTATTTGTCTAGGCGACTAGCTCGCAGTGAACGTTCTCATCTTTTCGTTTAAGAAGGGCAGGATAACAGCGCTCTGCACCTCCTCGGAAATTTGGAGTGATGCCAAAGACGTATCGACGTTCTTAAACCAAGCGGGCACCCTATTCAAAAAGACATTTTACCGGAATTTCATTTCCAGTAAACTAATATTTTACTGGATTATGTGACTCTTTTAGCTTTCGGTAAAGCCAAAATTTACCGGAATTTCACCGGATTTTTTATCCGATTGTCACCGGACATTTTTATCGAATGTCATCAGTTTTTCAGCAAAATTTTATTTCCAGTCAAAAATAAATTTTACTTGATTATGGAACTTTTTTCCCTTCAAATAAATCCGCAATTCACCGGAACTTACAGTGTTTTTATTTTTCATTCAGCCGTTACCGGAAGGCACTTAGGAAGAAGCCTGTGACCCATGGGTGGTATATGTTTACCAGATGCTCGTCGATGCGGTAACAAATAATGTGGTTAGAGCTGATGGTTTCATGTATTTATTTAACAGGGTCGATAACAGTGAAACAATATGCACATTTGTAGACAAAAGCAATCAGACCAAATAGGAACAACCGAGTTCTTTATCGCAAAGATATCTTTCGAGGTACTCACAATGCCGCTGGGCAGTGGCGTATAAACTTGTTTTTGATTGGGCGGGCCAACCAAAACCGCCCCCCCCCCCCCCCCCCCCCCCGGTCGCATATTTTTACTAGTGATGGGCCGAACTATTGCCGAATCGAAAATTCGGAGCAACTTTTGCCGAACTTTTCTAAAGATTCGGCAATGATTCGGCAAAATAGCACTTTTACCAGATTTAAGATTGATATTCAGTTTTTTGCTGGCGAAAAAAGGTTAATGTTTTTTTTTCTTAACTATATTACAACATGTAGTGCCTATTGACACAGTTATGACTAAATACGGTGATATTCTACAAGATAGTGTTGATGTCGATTTTGTGTGTTTAATGGCAATTTTAGTGTTTGCTTGCAGAAAGTGGAGTGAGAACGAGGTTGGGTAGTAGCCGAGGCAGCCACGAATCACGCTACGAGAGTTTTGATTTTGAGGCTTCATCAGCGCACGCCTGCAAGTTTGATTGCATTGTTAAAATAATGGCAACCCCTGTTGAATAATTAGTGCAAAAGAAGAAGAAGATGTAACAAGAAGGTATATAAAGGACGACGAGAACGGAGGAATCGATGGTGACTCCGGCAGCAACTGGAACGAACATGTAAATATTGTACATAAACCCTTCCTTCTTAACGAACTCGCTACATTTAATCCTCTTAACGAAGAAACGTAACATAAATTTGGTTCCGAAACCCGGGAGTAGCTGAGTCAAGGAAAGGCAAAGAAAGGCTTGGAACATCCATCGTAAAACCCAACGATCACCCGAGTGGACTTACCTCAACGAAAATGGATCAACTGACGCCAGCCGCCATCGAACAACTTAAAAGAAGAAGAACCGTGATTCGATCGGCGACAACCAGGATCATTTCCGAAATCGTCACTCTTCTAGGCCTGGAACCAACGTCCATCGGGGAGCTGGAAGAAAGGCTTAACATCTTGATACTCAAAGAATCTGCGTTAAAAGAAATCGACGATCAGATTGAGAGAGCCATCATCGATGACACGCTGGAACAGGAGATGGTAAACGCAGAAGGTTACGCCGAAAGAATTAGCTCAACGAAAACAAAAGTCCTACGGAAACTAAAAGAGCATGAACGAATGACTAACATGACGTTGGACACCTCAATGCCAGGCGCAAGTTCAAGACCACCACGGCCCATCAGTCAAGAACACGCAACGGTCAAACTTCCAAAGCTGGAAATTGCAAAATTTACGGGTGACATACGGTCATGGCAAGGTTTCTGGGACCAGTTTGACGCTACAATCAACCAAAACGTCTCTCTGTCCGAAATTGACAAGTTTAAATACCTGAAAAGTTACCTTACAGCTAAAGCTGCTACAGCAATTGAGGGGTTACAACTGACAGGTGAAAACTACACCGTTGCACTGGACCTCCTGAAAACAAGATTCGGAAAAAAAGAGCTCATCGTAGAAGAACACATGTCACGGTTACTAGCAGTGAGAACAATCAGTAACTCTCACAACGTGGAGAAGCTCAGGTTGTTGTATGACGAAGTTGAGACAGGAGTCCGAAGCCTTGAGGCGCTTGGTGTCTCTTCAAACACCTACGGGACACTCCTACTAACAGTCCTGCGAAAGGCTGTGCCATCAGACCTCGAACTAGAATATCATCGAAAAACAACACCGGAAGTGACAAACGAAGGCAACGAACTAAAACAGTTTTTGAACTTCTTGAAAAGCGAAATCGAAAGTCGAGAGCGGACTCAGCATGGAAACCAAAGAGTCCAACCAACTTCCAGTATGGCCAGTTCTTCAACTGGGAGGAACGAACGACCTAAACGATATCCACCTTCGACAGCTATGTTCGCGACAGGAACGAACACCAACGAAAACCAGTGCCTGTTCTGCGGATCAGCTGACCATATAACTGCCAACTGTTCGGTGCACATGCCCCTGGACCGAAAAAAAGAAGTCCTGAAAGGGAACAATCGTTGCTTTCGATGCACTAAACCTAACCATTGTGCGAAGAATTGCAAAAGCGCAAGGTGGCTAAAGTGCGATAATTGTTCCAGAAGACATGCAACAACGATGTGCGACCCGAATTACAATGCATTGGAAAAGCAAACTCCGAACAAGCCCTTAATAAGAAGTAACAAAGCAGTCCCTACCGGAAATGTGCTCCAGTCCTCTCTAAAGGCAACTGATAAGGAAAACAGAGGGCCTT